TCCAATCCGGGTGGTTCTTACATCATATCCAGTTACATCCCACATGCAACCGCAGGCTTCTGGGGACACTCAGGTGTCTAGAGCAGCTTCCTCCAGGCCTCAGGGGACCAACACATGTCCCCTCATGCTCAGCTTTCTGCACACAGATGGGGGCTACCTTCTCGACTGTTCCCCAGGATATGTGAGGCTCCACGGGGCATAGGCATGGAAGTCAACCCCGGGGACTGGCTTGGGCATTGCACTTCTACCCTCACGGCCTGCCCTCCCAAACTGGGCGCTTGTGCCCTGAAACTTCTCAGGGGCGGGGGTTGCCAGTCCGGGCACAGTGGGAGCAAGTCCAAGAACCAAGAGGCTCCCTCTCTAGATCTGTTCATCGGCACTCTGGGGTGAGATCACGGCGTTGCTGCGAGTGAAGCAGGCAAGCTGCAGTTAACTTGTTTGTGCCTCAGCTTCTCAGTCTGTAAAATGGAGGTTCCTGCCCAGCAGGGCGGTTGTTCCTACTGTTACTATGTTCTACAGTATCAAAGATTCTAACTCAAGTCCTTTACTGTCCTGTCCTCACTGGGTTTTCTTCTTTTTTTTCTTTTTTTTTCTTAATATTTTATTTATGGGGCACCTGGGTGGCTCAACCGGTTAAGCATCTGCCTTCGGCTCAGGTCATGATCCCAGGATCCTGGGATCGAGCCCTCATCGGGCTCCCTGCTCAGCGATAAATCTGTTTCTCCCTCTCCCTCTGCCTGCAGCTCCCCCTGCTTGTGCTCACTCTCTCTCTCTTCCTCTCAAATGAATAAATAAAATCTTATATATATATTTTATTTATTTATTTGAGAGAAAGAGAGAGAGAGAGAGAGTGTGTGTGTGTGTGTGTGTGTGTGTGTGCATGCCCACGTACATGGGGAGGTAAGGGGGAGGAGTGCAGGGTGGGGGGGGGAAGAATGCTAAGCAGGCTTCACACTGAGCACAGAGCCTGACGTAGGACCCAGTCTCACAACCGGAGATCACGACCTGAGCCAAAATCCAGAGTCAGACACCCAACCAACTGAGTCACCCAGGTGCCTCAGATCTTCTGACCTGAGTCCAGGGAAACAGACACATTCAAATCTCCAGCCCAGAGTGAATGAGGAGGAAGGAGGCTTGGCAAGCTTCCCCTTCAGGATGAAAACTGGCCCCCTGCTGCAGGGAGCCAGCCCTGAGGGTACCCAGAAAGGTACAGCTAACACCTGCTGTATTCTATAGGACAGGGTACAGAGGGCTGGGGACAGAGGCAGGCTGGGACAAGGGCCTGATGCCAGAGGAGGCAGGACAGAGAGGTCTGGCTGAGTCTCAGGCCTCCCACGATTCTAGCATCCCTGGGCCTTTGAACCCGTGGACCCAAATCACGCTCTCTCTTTGTGTATACGGGGACCCAGCATGTAGAGCACAGGGGAAACCATGCCTCAGAGGAATCCAGGAAAGCCTCTCAGGACAGGGTCCAAGGTTCCTACAACCCCAGGGGCCTGCTCAGCCAGGCGTGATACCCACAGCAGGTTCTGGGAGGAAGCTCTCCCTGCCAACCCTTGCTGGGTGCTGGGCTCAGGAAAAACAAGCCCTTACCTTCCCTGGATCACTCGGACATTCTGACTCAGGTCCTGAAGGGTATGTGACCATGGGGACAGCTGAGCTACTCTCTAGCCCAGAACTCAGACAGGACAACCCCTCCATGTAGGCACTGAGGGGGCATAAGCAGAGGGAACAGGCCTAACTGCATTTCCAGCAGCTATTTCCTCGCTCAGGACATGCCCTGAGGCCCCTAGTTCTGCTATTCAAGGTCTTTCTCAAGGTCTCTGTCTATGCCGTCTATGCTGCTGTCCCAGACACGGGGACTTTCCAGGCCTGCAAGGGTCAGACTGTCTCTGGACTCAGGAACAACAGCTAGGGCTGGGGACACATGCACTGGGCTCCCCTGCCACATCCTTCTCTGCTGACAAGCCCTTGAATGTCAGTTTCCCTGGTTGGTCCTCCACCCAGGCCCCGATCTCATTCACTCCTGGGTCTCAGTGACCCCATTGCAGAGTAGTTCCAAACCCACACCAGCAGGCCGGACTTCTCCCAGGTGAATCCAGCTGTCCCTGGGCATCTCCCCCTGGAAATCGCCCATCAAGCATTGAATCCTTGTTCCCTCAAAGCCGGCCCCTCCCCAAGGTGCCCAGCCACCCGACCAGAAATCAGGGTGACTTTGTTGCCTCCTTCCTACTCCCCACATCCAGGAGCAGCAAGCCCACCAACCCTGCCTCCCTGTGTGTCTGGAATCTCTGTTCCCCACCATACCTTAGGCAGGTCTTACCTCCCTCGGGGTCTCTGCCTCCTGACCCATTGGCCCGGCATCCAGAATGACTTTTCTATCATGATTACATCACTCCCTGACTGTCCACAGCGGAGCCTCAGTTGCTCTCATGTTAAAATGCAAGCTCTCTTGGTGCCAAAGCCCTAGATGATTTGGCCCACCCTTCAGCTTCATCACTGCCCAGGGCCCCCCTCAACTCTGCCCTGCAGCCCTCCTTTACCAACCTTTTTCTCAAGCCCCTCCCTATATCAGTCCTGCCCTCACCTTCCTTCTGTGCTGGCTCCTTCCTCAAAGGCCAGCGCTGCCTCCAATGGGTGTATGGGGTGACCATCTGATTCATGATGACCTCCCCTTGTCTGGGAATGACCTGGAACAAATAGGCAGGCTCCCAAAATCACATCTGCACTAAAGGAGCCTGCCACTGTTCAGAGCTGGTTGGACCAGTGGTGGATACTTGACCCACACTGGGCTGATGAGACTATCACCTGAGTACTTGAAACTTGGAGTCAAGAACTTGGGGGTCCCAGGCATGGAGTCTCGTTAATGTCCACAAATAAGAGTATGTTCCTATCCTCAGGCTCCTGGAGTCACTTGCTCCTTGCCCTCCTGAGTCAGCTGTCCCTTTCATTCTCTTCCCATTGCCTGCAACCAAAAGAAGCTTAACTTGCTCCCTTCTTCGATCCTTGCTTGGATTATTTGGTTTTCTGGTGTTGAGTTGTATAAGTGCTTTATACATTTTGGATACGGACCCTTTATCGGATATGTCACTTGCAAGTCTCCCACTCAGCAAGTTGTCTTTTAGTTTTACAGAAGACATGAGCGGACGTTTCTCCGAAGAAGACATGCAGATGGCCAACAGACACATGACAAGATGCTCAACGTCACTCGGCATCAGGGAAATGCAAATCAAAGCCACAATAAGCTATCCCCCCACACCGGTCAGAATGGCTAAAATAAGAGGATATGGAGGATGGGAGAAAGGGAAACCCTCGTGCACCGTTGGTGGGAATGCAAATTGGTGCAGCCATTCTGGAAAACTATGGAGGTTCCTGAAAAATCTTAAAAAAGAACTAGCCTACGACCCAGGATTCACACTACTAGGTATTTATTTACCCAAAGAATTCAAAAGGATACATGCACCCCTATGTTTATTGCAGCGTTATTTACAATAGCCAAATTATGGAAGCAGTCCCAGTGTCCATCAACAGATGAATGGATAAGGAAGAAGTGGTACATATGCACGCACACACGCACACACACACACACACACACACACACACACACGAATACTATTCAGCTCTGGAAAAGAATGAAATCTTGCCATTTGCAATGACATGGATAGATCTAGAGAGTATAATGCTAAGCAAAATAAGTCAGAGAAAGACAAACAGCATAGGATTTCACTCATACATGGAATTTAAGAAACAAATGAACAAACGGGAAAAAAAGAGAAATCAAGAAACAACTCTTAACTACAGAGAGCAAACTGATGGTTACGGCGGCGGGGGGGGGGGGGGGAAGGGGGGGGGGGGAAACGAGGGGGGGGGGATTAAGAGTACACTTGTCACGATGAGCACCAAGTAACGTATGGAATTGTTGAATCTCACATACACACACACACACACACACACACACACACACACACAACTGCCTCCTTTGCCCCAATCTCCTCACCAGCAAGGATGTACCTGCCTTCCTCCTCTTGATCAACTATTGATAAAGTCTCCCACATCTGACTCCCTCCCTCACCTTTCATCTCCTCACTCCTCAGCCTGCAGTCATGAAACAAACTTGACAAATATTTATTTAGCTTTGGCCATGGGCAAGAATGAGGACACAGCATGAGGCACGGCCTGCGGCTTCAGAGAGTTCACAGTCTAGCCATGGGGACAGGCACGGTAAGATGGACGTACAAACTCTAATACAGATTACAATCTACTGTGGTCACAGAAGGGCAGAGTGACTCACAGGATGCAGTGAGAGGGAGGGCTCACAAGAGGCCTCCTGGAGGAGGGGATATGCGGGCAGTGCCTTCCAGCTACGAGTGACAAGGAACATTTTTTTTTTTTTTTAAGATTTCATCTATTTGAGAGAGAGAAAGCAAGAGAAACAGAGGAAGAGGGAGAAGCAGACTCACTGTTGACTGAGCAGAGAGCCCAATGCGGGGTCCCTGAGATCATGACCTGAACCGAAAGCAGACGCTTAACCGACTGAGCCACCCAGGTGCCCCGACAAGGAACACCTTACCCACAAGTCCCAATTCAGGAAAATAAAAATCAGTGACTCCTTTTCACTTTTATTTAAAATGAAAATCAATTTATTACTACCTGTGAAAAATGTAACCATGTAGATTACTCACTTCATTGAAAAAAATTCAGTAGGAAACTTGGCACACTGGTTTTCACCCGCTCAATTGTTATCATCCCAGCACACCAGAAATGCTGGCAGGTAGACGGGCCAGAGGGGCTCTGTTGGCCAGGGATTTTTATCACTGTCAAAGAGGATCTCTTTTTAATAGTTATTTATTTACTTATTTATTTATTTGAGGGAGAGGGAGAGAGAGCACAGGCGCACTGTGAAAGCCGGGGAGGCGGGGAGTGGGGTGGGGACAGACAGAGAAATCCTCAGCAGGGAGCCCCGTGCAGGGCTCAATCCCAGGACCCTGAGATCATGACCTGAACCGAAATCAAGAGCCAGCCACTCCACCAAGTGAGTCCCCCTCCGGGTGCCCTCTGTCACAGAGGATTTGGGAGAACAGAAGGGCAGTGTAGGCCCAGGAGAGCATGTGAGGAAAAAGCACATGGAAAAACACCATGTGGGAGAACAGTAATAACAAATAATTTGTTTAGTAGGGAGTGAAGTGGGAAAGGCAAGAAAGGAAATCAAGAGGTCGAAAGAGGCCTTATTTCCCAGGCCAGGCCCTTGTGGTTGTCCTGAGAACAGCAGGGAGCCATTGAGGGTTACAGAGCAAGAGAAGGTTTGTCACTTTCGTAGTCAGTGTCAGGGTAAGAAGGGATGCTCTACCCCTGGTTCGCCCTGAAGCCCTAGATACCTCTGTCCCTGAGCCTCACGGTCCCCGTGTAGTCTCCATTATCTTTCCATTGTCAGGTACGGGCACGGGGTTGGGGTGGGGTGTCCGGAGATCGGGACTCAGAAGGAAAAGTTGTCCCTGCTACCCTCGGTCCCCAGTCCGCTAGCCCCGGGCTGAATGTAATTGTCCTCGATGAAGCCATCATCATCCTCTTCAGCCACCTCCGGGCAGATCCCCTTCCCTGTCCTGGGCAGCGGGCGGTGCTGGTAGCTGGCACGGTACTTGCGACAGACGTGGCATCTGGCAGCAAGTGCGATGAGGAGAGAGAGGACCACAGCCCCCAGCACAACCCCTACCAGCACGGGCCATGCCCGGGCCCCAGCACCCACTCCGGGGGACATGGACGATGCTGTTGGGAGCTCTGAGGGCTCCACAGTGGCTGCAGAGAAAGGGACAGCATTATGGATGGGGACCCCAGATGGGTTCCCTGGAGAAACCAAAAGGTGTGGGGCAGGGTCCTTCCCCCAACCTCTCCCCACTTCCCTGGCCTCCTTCCCATTCACTCACTTTGGTTTGTCTCACGCATGGAGGGGCCTGAAGACACCGGTGAGCCTCGGCTTCTGCCAGAAAAGCTTGAGCTCCAAGGAAACCCCCAGATGCCTGGCAGCGCCGGAGGCCAGAGTCCTAGAACATACACACACAAGTGGGTGTCCGGGGAGCACAGGTGCCGCTCTCAGGCAGACGCACGGCCACGTGAGGGCACTGCACAATCTCTGGACACTGGACAGTTGGCCACAACCAGCTGTGCACAAAAGAGACAGAGCTGCACACCTGGAAATTGGCTATCTGTAAGGGAAAGCTGCAGGGTCCGGCTCTGCAAGCCTCAGAAAAAATCAATGCGGGAACTTACTCAACGTTACATCTGATTCAAGCTCTGGACAACGTGCTCACAGACCCCTGTAAATGTGGGTATAAAAAGGATCCCCTCTCTGTAGATGAGGAGTCTGAGGCCCAGTAAGGTGAACTAACTCAGCCAACGTCCCAGGACTTGAACCCAGGTCTCTGGAACCAGGGTCCAGAGTCCAGTCTGCTATACGGCTTGGTTGGCGGGATGGGAAGCGGGGGCAGAGGCGGTTCTGGCTCCCAGGGGTTGGACAGCAGCAATTGCTTAGAGCTGATGAACCAAAGTAGAGACCACATGTGGAGGAGAGTGCCAGTCCCTGCCCAGGCAGGCAGGGGACCCCACTCCTCCTCAGTCAGGAGCTCCTGCTACCCAACCTTGACCCTCAGCTCTTCAGACACATCCCTCGTCCATTGACCTCCATCTGCCCCCAAGGGAGTAGCCAAATGCAGATCACCTGGATGAGGAAATGATCTGGATAAGAACCACTAGGGCTAGGGAGGAGCGAGAGGAGGAGCACCTGAATTAAGGGAGGATCTGGAGGAAGATCACCTAGGCCTGGGAACACCAGCAGGAGGAGCACCTGAGTCAGAGGAATGTCTGGGGGAGCAACACCTGAATCTGAGGAGTATCTAGAGGAAGAGCACCTAGGTTGGGGAAGTACTTGTCAGAGGAACAGCTAAGGCTACAGATTATCAGAGGAGTACCTGGGGAGGAGTATCCAGGCTAGGAAAGCACCTAGGAGAGTAGCGTCTAGTTTAGGGGAGTACCTCCCATGTTTTTTAATAATCTTCCTGAAACCCTCCCTCCTCTCCTCCAACCTGTCACCAAGCCTCATGAGTTCTTCCTGGAACTAAACATCTCTGGAACAGCTCTGCCCCTCCCTTGCACCCCACTGCCACTGCCCCAGTCCAAGCCACCTTCATCTACAGGACCTCCTAATCCACCTTGCCCCGCCTCCAGTCCATTCCCCAGAGGCATGGGCCTTAAAGCCCAAATCTGACCCCATCACTCCCCAACTCTTAAACATCCTTCTACCGTTCCCCAAGCCCTCAGGGCTGCAAGTAGATTCTCAGCTTGTTCTTCCAGGCCCCAGAATCCAGCACATGGCCCTCGGACCAAACCAGCCCTCTTGTCCACAGTTCCCTCCCCCATGCTACATACACACACACACACACACACACACACACACACACACAGCTCACCTCCCTCTTGTTGCCCAGCCATCCCATCCCTCCAGGCCAAATCAGACCACACCCTCCTGTGAGACTGTCCCAGGACCCCCTTGGAGGACCCCTTCCCTGCCCTATGCAGTCAACTACCCAGCAGAAGTGGCCAGTTACTAGATGTGCAGCTGCCTGGGGCCAAGGACCAGTCTGGTTCATAGGTGGCCTGGTGCTAGCAGAGAGCTGATGCTCAGCTGCTCAGGGCGTGTAGGAGAGGAGGAAGGGGGAGCTGGAGAGTGAAGCGGGGCGTCAGAAAGGAGGGCTCAATCACTCATTCACTCACTGGGTGCCTACTCTGGGCCCCACGATAGGCACTGGATCCTCAGGAAATCAGATTTTAAATGGAAATGAATTGTATTCAAATGGATGTCTCTAAAATTTCACTCCTACTCTTTTCCTGCCTGCCCTGCCCCTGTGACTCCTTCTCAAGGACACACACACCCCCACAGGCTGGCACCCTACCCCCACATGTCACATCTCTTCCTTCCACAAACACACAGTCTCTGATCTCACAGACATACACACTCCACCCTGATTTGGGGCTCCTTTTAAAACTCCCAGGAGCCCTCAGAGATCTGTGGGATCCCCCTCCCAGGCCCCCCAAAGTCTTCCCCTCTGCTCCCCACCTGTAGGAACTGTGCAGAGTCCAAGGAGGAAGCTTCCGGCTGGGGCGGGCAGAACGCAGACAGGTGGGTGGGCCCGAGCTGCCACTAGACACACCTGGGGACGCGGCCGGCAGGCGGGGCCTAATCCTCAGGTGAGGGCGGAGGGCCAAGCTGCGGGCGGAGCCTCCAATCCGGAGGTTTAATTACTCTTCTGGCTCGGCTTTTGCAGGGAACCTTCTGGCGCAGGCCCCACCCCCACCCCCAGCGCCCGGTGAGAAGTAGGGGGAGGGGGCGGCGTGTTCCCGGGATCCAGAGAGGGCGTCCAACAGGCTCTAGAAGGAGCAGGCAGGCATGCATCTAAGCAGAGCGACTGCTCAGGTCGACGGCCCCATAAGCTAGTGTGTTTCCCATGACCCGTACAAAGTCTAGAGTTGAAGGGGGAGTTTTGCAGGCCCGGGAAGGCGGTGGGACGGAACTGGAGGAGAGAGGGAGGGAGTTCCTCCCTGCAAACCCACAGACACCAAGGACACTCAGAATGGCCTGCAAAAATGTTTGTGAGCCGACGCTGGGGGACTGGGGGAAGGGGGTGGGGAATGCTGAGGTCAATGGGAAATGTACCTGTGCCCTTGGGGTTTACTTGTGTGCCTAGGTGTCCACCAGGATAGAGGCTTCTAGCCCTATCATCTGATGTGGATCTCGAGGATCCCGGGAGCCCACAGAGCCAGCTCTGAACCTTTCCCTCTTGCCTTCCTCCTTATCCCCAGACCTAGCGCCTTCTTGTCCTTTAAGACCTAGCTCAGAGTCACCTTCCCGAGCATTAGGTCCTTGCAGACTAGTCCTGCCTTCTCCCTGCAAGCCCCACTTTCTTAACCAGGGCACCCTCAGTGCTGCCTCCCACCCTCCCAGGAGCTTTCCTGGTGCTCCCCCCACACACACACACCCCACCCACCTCCCCCCACCCCCGTCCTGATCCTGACTGCAGGGTTCCTGGCCCCTGACACTGGGCAGATTCTCAATAAATATTGAAAGGAGGAAGAGTACAAACGAAGAAGTCACAGGGAACCACAGGGCACAGCTAGAGCAAGGGCTGCCCCTAGGGCGTGTCAGTGGGACCCCAGGACAACCAAGTGGAGGTCAGTTCCTGCAGGACTTTGAATATCTTAGCTTGGAGTTGAACTCCTGCTGCCAGTGGCCCCTTCTAGAACTCTCCTGCCTGGTCCGTCACCTACCTGGGCACACTGTGCCAGCCACACCAGACTGTTCTCTATTCCTCCGACCCATATGGTCTTCCCTCCCAGGCTTTGCTTGGGCTCTTTCTGGGAGCCCAACCCTGCCCTCCAGCCACTACCCCAATGCGTCATCTCCCCCCTGGCTGATTATTCTTTTTTTTTTTTTAAAGATTTTATTTATTTATTTGACAGAGAGAGATCCCAAGTAGGCAGAGAGGCAGGCAGAGAGAGAAAGGGGGAAGCAGGCTCCACGCTGAGCAGAGGGCTCGATGCGGGACTCAATGCCAGGACCCTGAGATCATGACCTGAGCCACCCAGGCGCCCCCCCCGGCTGATTATTCTTGCCAAACCAACTCATGGCTCAGGCCCCAGCTCCAGTACCTCTCTATCTAAAGGAGCCTTCCCTGACATGCCCTTGTCTGGGTCCCTATCCCCCTCCTCTGTGCCCCACAGACACTGGCCCTTCTCCCAGCTAGCCCTGACTGCACAGTATTGTGATTTTCTCTTCATCTGGCACAGTCCTCTATGAGCCAGTAAACTCTGGGAGAAGGGTCTGTGTCTGTCTTATTCCTCTCCACATCCCCAACATCTAAAATGGCTGTAATAGATGCTTCTGAAATAAATGAATGAGAGGAAAGTGAATAGTATCCCAGATGGGGCAGCAAGGAACCAAGGAAGGTCTGGGATCTTGCCCTTGAACAAGGGCATCATCATAGGATTCAAAAGGGATTGAATCATAGGATTCAAAAGCTAGTCACTGAACACCTACCAGTCCCCACGTGGAACCTACCGTTCCCAGGCGCTGTGCTGGTTCTTTTTTTAATTGAGGTATTCATATAGCATAACTCATGAGTCATGTAAGAAATTCACCATTTTAGCCATTTTTCAGGGCACAGTTCAGTGGCATTTAGTACATTCAGAACGTTGTACAAGCATCCCTCTATCTAGTCTAAAACATTTGCATCACACCAGAAGAGTACCCCAACCCATTAAGTAGTCACTCCCCATTTCCTCATCCCTCCAGCCTCCAGCAACCACTAATCTGCTTTTTGTCTCTGTGGATTTGCCTATTCTGGGTATTTCATACAAATCTAATCATATTTGTGCCAGATTTTTTATGAACGATTTCATTTAAACTTCATAACTATACTATGAAATAGATGTTAGTTATCCCTTTAACAGATGATGAAAATAAGGCCCTGAGAAGGTATTTTGTATGAAGTTCCACAGAAGAAAACAAGTAAAGGTCTGCACATCCATCAATAATTTATTCAATGAATATTTATTTTTTATTGTTATTTTTTAAGATTTTATTTATTTATTTGACAGAGGGAGAAAACACAAGCAGGGGGAGTGGCAGGCAGAGGGAGAGGGAGAAGCAGGCTCCCTGCAGAGCAGGGGAAGCCTGATATGGGACTCGATCCCAGGATTCTGGAATCATGACCTGAGCTGAAGGCTCACTTAACCAACTGAGCCACCCAGGCACCTTCAATGAATATTTATTGAATGCCCATCACAGAGCCACTACCAGCCCATACAACACAAATTACAGAACAGCAGAAGACAACCTGCTGGATGGCCCCAGTGCATGGAAAGCAGAGAACAGGCTGGATGTCAGCACCTGCTCCTCAGCCAGGAACTCTGATGCAGTGAACAACCCTTACAACCCTCCATGGCAACCATGGAATGCCCTGGCAACCGTGTGACAAGCTCAGTGCT